TCCTTATTTTCAAGTATACAGTATTTGATTTCACATGTATCTGGTAGATGTAAATATTTCTGGAAGGTATCTACCTACAAAATTACATTCAATTAATATTTGGTTAAAGTTAAATTATTTAACAAAAAATGTACATACAGGTATGTACAAAATTTATAACTCAGGACTCGTATATAAAAAAAAATGGCAATGTGAACAAACATCATGTATTCATTTTTATTTACAAGAAATGAACTCCTACAGGTTGACAGACAATGGAATGTTGTACAACAAATGAAGTTGTTAATTACAGAGCATATGTTATAATAAAAATTAAATTGTTTAACTATGAAGAATAAATTTTTAAATAATATCTAGATATCCTTCACAAGCTCCCTAAATTTTAAACAACTTATAATAAACAAAACTAAATACATGTACATGTACCTACTGAATTCTAGTTTTTGTTTTCCTTCCTATTTAAACAGATTCAAGTCCCATTTTTTTTAAATAATATTAAAACCTAAATAAAAGCCACTGAAAGACTAACATTGTGTTTCTTTCTTTTACTGATAATCTGTTTTAAAATACATGTGTAATTAAAATACGTAATACATGTATTTTAGACATGCAGTACCAGAGAGAGATAGTTATAGCCCCCTACTTTTTTCTAAACATATTCTACTACTGTTTTATAATTGAATAAAATATGAAGACAGAAGTTTTATGTTACATAATATTTTGTAAACTATGGACTCTCTGAATAGGCAAATTCTTCTTTTCTTAGAAAGGGATCCTCAAATGATGTTTGGACACTTCTTAAGAATAGAAAAGATTCATCCCAATCCTCATGAATTCAGCAATCATTTGTTACATTGCCTGGAAAATATAAATGCAATAATATATGAGATTGCTTTATTTATAATGCATCATCCATTAATTTGAATCAATATAATACAGTCAAGCCTTATTATCTTGAACTCAATGGGACCGATGAAAAACTTTGAGATATTCAAGGGGTTGAGAGCTTGAGGGTAACATACAAAGAAGACAAATGTGGTTCAAGGGACTTCAAAATGACTTTGACATCTCCATAGTGATCAAGATATCACTCAGTGTTCGAGATACCAAAGTTGAACCCTAAACTGAGTATAAAAAAAAATCATATTATCATATTAGTAACAGCGTGCCCCTTTGTTAGATCAAGCATGCTTAAGTTTCATATGTTGAACACCATATTTCTCATTGACTGGATGTTAAATTTCATTGAAATGAATACTACTTTGCATATGAAATAGAGAATCCAGCAACACACTGATAATACTGAGCAGTCGCATTGAATGATTGTTTACAATGACAGCATTTGTAATAAGCAACAACACATGGTCAGTCAAAACCATTGTCGGCTTCTCTGTTCATGTGCAAAATAGTATTTCTTATTATTGAAATTAAATGTCAAATCAATGAAAAATATGGTGATCAACATGGGAAACTGCATGCTTTATCAAACAAAGTGACATGCTGTTATTGGAATAGTAGTATATGCCATATATAGATGCAAAATCAATTTATTATTATCCAGTTAAAGTATTTCATTGAGGGAGTTAGCAAGATTCCAGTTCCCCAAGGCCAGGACTACTTCCCACGGCGAAGCCGAGGGAAATAGTCCTAGTCGAGGGGAACTGGAATTTTGCTAACTCCCTCAATGATATACTTTTAACTGTTTTATTATACCGATACAAACGTAAAATTTAGAGGATTCAGATAGCGTGATTTCAAAGCAGGGATTAGCTCACTGAACTAACACATGGGATTAGTCCATTCACATATACCAATGTTAAATTAAAACCTAGAGGATTATGGATAACCGCAGGGATCGACATTAACGGTTGTCCGATTGCCAGGGACAAGTAAATTCTCAGTTCGGGCAAGTGAATTTTTCTCATACAAATGTACATATTTATTTAGTTTAGATTAATTTATAAATAAAACAATAAATTGAACACTTGATTTCCGCCACGCACCTGACTGACAATGTTTTTGCATTCGGAATTCCTTGGTAGCGTTTCTGGAATATACCACTCATTTAAAAATCGGGTTCATTATTTTCTTTCGTAGTACGTCTAACAAAAGGATCATACCAAAAATAATTTTTTAAAATATGAATTTTATTAAAAGGAAACGGAGGGTTATTGTTGCATGGCAGTATGTGTTAACAGATTAAATTTACAAGCACAGTGGTATTCATTTACGTATAAATATAGCATGCATCGACATTTTTTCCAGATTGACAGTATGACAGTAGAGTATTTGGTTACATTTTTCGTATGATAACGTTTACAGTAATTAATAATTTTCTTTTTATGGTCTTTCCTTATTTTCGGCAACTAAGTTTTGCATTCGGACAAGTCAAAGTTTGAGATCACTTGCCCGAAGGGCAAGTGAATCTGAAAGTTAATGTCGATCCCTGAACCGGGAATTAGCTTTCGAAGCAGGGATTAGCTCACTTGACTAACACTTGGGGATTAGTCCATAGTCCATTCTTAACAATTTCTATGGAAATAGTCACATCTAACGATCTAATGTTATACAGGGAAAAAATCAGTAGAGGTATAATAATGTTCATAAATAATATGCATGAGAAAAAGATTTGTACAAAATAAACCAATTAAATATAAATAAATCATATGCATTTCCAAGTGTTAGCAAATCATTTATCTAGGTAATAATGATGAATGTCAACATACCCCAGGTAGTCGAAATTGTTTGATTTTAAGATACTGAAGTTTAGCTGTACTTAATTAGACTGCACTATATTCAAATGTTTCTCAACAACACACATTTTTCACGTGTTGTAATGATAGGAGTTAAGCCCCTTTTCTATGCCCCAAAATATTGTTTTCCTTTCTCTGATATTTGTAGATATTTTAACCACATACAGTTTGTGAGCTCTGCTGATTATTCATAACCAGCTATTTTAAGTTGCAACTAGTTTGATGTTTAAAGATTAATTGAAAGACAGAAAGATAAAAAACAAACTTAAGTCTCCTTAAAATTGGAAATAAAATTATGAAAACTTATTTTAGCCCCCTCTTAGCCTAAGATCCATGAAATGAACAAAAAGGATTTTCCAATATTTACATAAGATCCCCCCCCCTCCTTAACTATTTCCAGATAAATATTTTACCCCTAATTATGGCCCATCCTTAACCCTGGATTATGGGATTCTTTACTAAGATGAATTTATTCATGCATAATAATATGATTTATGGTGGGCCTGACTTTTAAAAGGCTTTTACCCTAAATATTTCAGAATAAAACTTTGATTCCCCACTGTGGCCCTACACTACCCACAGGGAATATGGTTCGAAAAAATCTGAATCTGCTCTGCACTATCTCAGAGGATGCTAGCAAGATAATATGAGTATAATGACTTATCATGACCTGTCTGTTCTTGACAAGAATTAAGACTTTAACAAGAGGCCCATGTGTTCACCTGAGCACATCGGCTAGGAAAAAGCACAAATCAGTTCAGTATTGAAAAGTTTACAAGGGGGGGGGGGGGGGGGGGAATTTTATACTACTAAACTACTTGAGGTTGCCTCAATATCCATATAGCATATAACTTTGCTGTTCTTGAGAAGAAGATTTTAAAAGATTTTTCTATATATTTTTATGTAAAATTTGATTGGTCATTATGACCCCACCTTATTCCGAGGGGTCATGATTTGAACAAACTTGAATCTACACTACCTTGACTAACACTTGGGGATGCATGCTTCCATATACATATCACCAATCATGGCTTTACTGTTCATGAGAAGATGATTTTTAAGAATTTTTCCTATATATTTCTATGTAAAACTTTGACTGGCTTTATTATGGCCCCACCCTACCCCCTGGGGTTATGATTTGAACAAATCTGAATCTACACTACCTGAGGATGCTTCCATATGATATTTCTATGTAAAACTTTGATCGGTTATTATGGCCCCACCCTACCCCTGGGGATTTGAACAAACCTGAATCTACATTTTGTTAAGCAGCTTTCACTTAAATTTATTTATTTTTTTTTTCTAGCCTCCGGTTCTTGAGAAGAAGATTTTTAAATACAGCCAATTTTCACTATTTCTTAGTTATCTCCCCTTGAAAGAGGGTGTGGCCCTTCATTTGAACAAACTTGAATCCCCTTTACCCAAGGATAATCTGTGCCAAGTTTGTTTGAAATTGGCCCAGTGGTTCTTGAGAAGAAGATGAAAATGTGAAAAGTTTACAATGACAACAACGACAGACAACGGACAAATTTTCATCAGAAAAGCTACCTTGAGCCACAGGGACTTGAGACAATCTTAGCAAAATCGGGTATATAGCTATAGTATAATAGGGGAGCCCTTTTATACTATATACCCGATTTTGCTAAGATTGTCTCAAGTCCCTATGCCTTGAGCCTTCGACTCAATTGAGCTAAAAAAAATTTTCATTTTGTTTTTTTCTGACTGGCAAAATTACAATTGTTCTTTCTATTTAATTGCTATAATCTATTTACATCAATAACATATCATCACCACTTATAAACATACCTTCTCTTTGGACCTAACCTCCTTTGTTATTGTCATGGTTGATGCTTGCATCAGATAAATTGTTCTGTTACAGCTGAAATACAAATATGAATATTACATTAATACAATCCTCTTAACTTAATTTGTACAAATAAAATATATATGCATGTATTTGCAGTTAGATCACCAAGAGAACTGCATGAATGAACAATACTGACAAATTGCATTGCACTACTTGCAAATCAAACAAATACATGTATGTAAATCATTTTAAGTGTGCAGAATATGCTGAATCATGTATTGGTATAATTTGCAGTTCAAAAAAATTGTTTGCATAAACATACAGCCAAGTGTGTTTTACTGTTTATTTCTATTTTTTAAAAATCTCATTTAATGGTAAATTTCTCTGCATATAAACTCTCTGCAATGCTGCATGATGTGATTAACCTTTGTGCATTTTTTGACCCATTCTGTATTACCGAGGTATCTGCTGAAAGAGAAAACAAGAGGCCCAGGGGCCACATCGCTCACCTGAGCACTGTGGTTAGGAAAAAAGGAAAAATCAGTTTAGTATTGAAAAGCTTAAATGCATAAATGGTCCCAACCTACCCCTAAAAGGGAGTGTGTGTGGGGGGGGGGGGGGTATGACTTAATTAAATCAACCAAAATTAAATCTACACTGCTTATATAATTTTTTGACTAACTGTGACTTTTTTCTCTACAAGTTTGAACTTTCATTGTGGCCCCACCCTACCCCTGGAGGTCATGATTTGAACAAATTTGAATCTACACTGTCTGAGGATGCTTCCATATAAATATTACAAACCGTGGCTTTGCTGTTCTTGAGATTTTTAAAGGTTTTTCTTATATATTCCTATGTAAAACTTTGAACGTTCATTGTGGCCCCACCCTACCCCCAGGGGTCATGATTTGAACAAACTTGAATCTACACTACCTGAGGATGCTTTCAAAAAAATATATCCAATCAAAGCTTTGCTGTTCTTGAGAAGAAGATTTTTGAGGATTTTTCCTATGTACACCTATGTTAAACTTTGATCGTCCATTGTGGCAACACCCTTACCCTGGGGGTCATGATTTGAACAAACTTGAATCTACACTACCTGAGGATGCTTCCAATATAAATATGACCAATTATTGCTTTGCTGTTCTTGAGAAGAAGATTTTACCTATATATTCCTATGTAAAACTTTGATCGTCCATTGTGGCCCCACCCTACCCCTGGGGGTCATGACTTGAATAAACTTGAATCAATACCACCTCAGGATGCTTCCAAATAAATATGACAAATCATAGCTTTGCTGTTCTTGAGAAGAAGATTTTTGAAGATTTTTCCTATATACTCCATGAAAACTTTGATTGTCCATTGTGGCCCCACCCTACCCCCAGGGGTCACAATTGGAACAAATTTGAATCTACACCACCTGCAGATGCTTCCATATAAATTTGACCAATCATGGCTTTGCTGTTCTTGAGAAGAAGATTTTTGAAGATTTTTCCTATACTCTCCCATGTTAAACTTTAATTGTCATCCATTGTGGCCCCACCCTACCCCCCGATGGTCATGATTTGAACAAACTTGAATCCACACCATCTGAGGATGCGTCCAAATAAATATTACCAATCATTGCTTTGCTATTCTTGAGAAGAAGATTTTTGAAGATTTTTCCTATATATTCCTATGTAAAACTTTGATCGTCCATTGTGGCCCCACCCTACCCCTGGGGGTCATGACTTGAATAAACTTGAATCAATACCACCTCAGGATGCTTCCAAATAAATATGACAAATCATAGCTTTGCTGTTCTTGAGAAGAAGATTTTTGAAGATTTTTCCTATATACTCCATGAAAACTTTGATTGTCCATTGTGGCCCCACCCTACCCCCAGGGGTCACAATTGGAACAAATTTGAATCTACACCACCTGCAGATGCTTCCATATAAATTTGACCAATCATGGCTTTGCTGTTCTTGAGAAGAAGATTTTTGAAGATTTTTCCTATATTCTCCTATGATAAACTTTAATTGTCATCCATTGTGGCCCCACCCTACCCCCAGGAGTCATGATTTGAACAAACTTGAATCCACACCACCTGAGGATGCTTCCAAATAAATATTACCAATCATTGCTTTGCTGTTCTTGAGAAGAAGATTTTTCCTATATATTCCTATGTAAAACTTTGATCGTCCATTGAGGCCCCACCCTAACCCCGGGGGTTATGATTTGAACAAACTTGAATCTACACCACCTGAGGATGCTTCCATATAAATATGACCAATCATAGCTTTGCTGTTCTTGAGAAGAAGATTTTTGAAGATTTTTCCTATATATTCCTATGTAAAACTTTGATCGTCCATTGTGGCCCCACCCTACCCGTGAGGGTCACGATTTGAACAAATTTGAATCTACACCACTTGAAGATGCTTCCATATAAATATGACCAATCATAGCTTTGCTGTTCTTGAGAAAAAGATTTTTGAAGATTTTTCCTATATATTCCTATGTAAAACTTTGATCGTCCATTGTGGCCCCACCCTACCCCTGAGGGTCACGATTTGAACAAATTTGAATCTACACCACTTGAAGATGCTTCCATATAAATATGACCAATCATAGCTTTGCTGTTCTTGAGAAAAAGATTTTTGAAGATTTTTCCTATATATTCCTATGTAAAACTTTGATTGACCATTGTGGCCTCACCCTACCCCCTGGGGTCATGATTTGAACAAACTTGAATCTACACTACCTGACAATAATTCCATATGAGTTTTGTCTTTCCTGGCCCATTGGTTCTTGAGAAGAAGATTTTTCAATAATGCCATTAATTTTTTGCTATTTCGTAATTATCTCCCCTTTGAGGAGGGAGTGGCCCTTCATTTGAACAAACTTGAATCCCCTTTACCCAAGGATACTTTGTGCCAAGTTTGATTGAAATTGGCCCAGTAGTTCTGGAGAAGAAGATGAAAATGTGAAAAGTTTACGACAACAACGACGCCGACGACGCCAACGCTGACGACAGACAACGGACAAATTTTGATCAGAAAAGTTCACTTGAGCCTTTGGCTCAGGTGAGCTAAAAAAAAAAACAGAATGTGAATAAATCATTTGAACAAAGTTAAAAAAGTAACGGATGCATGATTTTCAATTATCAAAAGCCCTTCCTCTCTCTATCTCTCTGTCTGACAAATTATCCACAGGATTTTTTTACATAGATACACATGTATAACAGATATTGGTGCAACTGAGCAAAATTAAAATATCCTTTCTTTGTTTCTTCCAATCAGGCATAATAACTAAATACATGTAATAATGTCACATAATATGTTATAAAATTATCCTTACAATGCTCACAATAGGCAAATCTTGAACTTTCATGTCATCACTGTCTTCAGAATATCCTGCATTCCAAATAATAATTTGATTAGATTTATTTATTTTTATACATGTATTTGGTATTTTTTAGAATGAAATTCTCATTTATGATTTATGTGCATTACAGCACCATGCACATGGAAGTTCATTTTCAAATTCAACCAACATGTCATTCTTAAAAAATCAAAAAAGATAAATCTGTAAAGCCCATTTAATTTTTTTTTTTTTAATGAAATAAAATTATTTTCTTGTGTGTGTAATTTGTGTGGGATCATTACTGGTGCGGATGGACATATCATTAAAAAAAAAAAAAAAAAAAAAAAAAAAAACATACAAAAAAAGCACAGATTGTTGCAAAAGCCAACTTATTGAATTATAGTAAGTTACAAATTTACAATGAAGGGCTCGAAATAATTAATGGCCCACTGGACTGGGGCCGATGAATTTTTAGCTCACCTCGACGAAGTCGAGATGAGCTTATGCTATACCGTCGGCGTCGGCTTTAGCGTCAGCGTCCCAGGTTAAAGTTTTAGGAGCAAGTCCCATTCCCAAGTAACTATAAGCCCTACCTGGACCAAACTTGCATGAATGATGCATCTAGGGATGGACACTACCACACTTGCTTCGGATGCTGGATCTGACCTAGATTTTCCAGATGAGTGACCAGGTTAAAGTTTTAGGAGCAGGTCCATTCCCAAGTAACTATAAGCCCTACCTGGACCAAACTTGCATGGATGATGCATCTAGGGATGGACACTACCACACTTGCTTCGGATGCTGGATCTGACCTAGATTTTCCAGATGAGTGACCAGGTTAAAGTTTTAGGAGCAGGTCCATTCCCAAGTAACTATAAGCCCTACCTGGACCAAACTTGCATGGATGATGCATCTAGGGATGGACATTACCACACTTGCTTCGGATGCTGGATCTGATCTAGATTTTCCAGATGAGTGACCAGGTTAAAGTTTTAGGAGCAGGTCCATTCCCAAGTAACTATAAGCCCTACCTGGACCAAACTTGCATGGATGATGCATCTAGGGATGGACATGGCCACACTTACTTCGGATGCTGGATCTGACCTAGATTTTCTGGATGAGTGACCAGGTTAAAGTTTAAGGAGCAGGTCCATTCCCAAGTAACTATAAGCCCTACCTGGACCAAACTTGCATGGATGATGCATCTAGGGATGGACATGGCCACACTTGCTTCGGATGCTGGATCTGATCTAGATTTTCCAGATGAGTGACCGGGTTAAAGTTTTAGGAGCAGGTCCATTCCCAAGTAACTATAAGCCCTACCTGGACCAAACTTGCATGGATGATGCATCCAGGGATGGACACTACCACACTTGCTTCGGATGCTGGATCTGACCTAGATTTTCCACATGTGAGACCAGGTTTAGATTTAGGAGTAGTCTCGTTTCCAAGTAACTATAAGCCCTACCTGGACCAAACTTTCATGGATGATGCATCTAGGGATGTACACTAACCAACCTGCTTCGAATGCTGGATCTGACCTAGATTTTCCACATGAGTGAATTTTAGCCATATTTTTACCAAATTAGCATGGATGATGTATCTAGGGATGGACACTTCCAGACTTGCCTTGGATTCTGAATCTGATGTACATTTTCCAGATGAGTGACCAGGGTAATTTTTTGGAGTAGCTATATAATATTATGGCCTGTTATGATTAAACTTGCATAGATGGTGCATCTAAGAATGAAAACTTCCAGACTTGCTTTGGATGTTGGAAGTGACCAAACTTTTCTTGATTACTAAACAGGTCAAAAGTTTTTTGAGCAGGTCTATAATTAAATCAAACTTGCATGGACATTGATCTTGGGATGTACCCTAACTAGAAAAAAAATATGATGTGAAATTTGCTTTACATGTAGATAACATTCGTCGAGGTGAGCTTCGTAATCTTTGATTACCTATGTTTAATTTAGGCTAGTACATTGTGAGGGTACGTGTCCATTGGGTCATTGTTTATTATGTATACAATCATGTAACAAAATTCATTTATGGTTGGGCTAGTAACTAAACTTGCCAGGCAAAGTTCTGTCTTTTCTTGTTTTGTTAAATTAAACTACTAAGTATCACAATATAAACAAAAAATATATCACTATTACTTTTTTATGGTTTTGGGCCAGTCTTTTTAAAATCTACTGGTTCAGTGGGACAGTCGAAGTACTGAGTTTACCAGGAAAAAATTTAAGGTGATAGCCCTATAGTGACCAGTGAAAGAAAATAATTATTTTTAGCCCTGAAATGATGTCACATTTTTATGCTACATAATTATATATTATCTCAAACAAAAATGCAAAACATCACTGTAAATTATGTTTACATTGACAGAGGTCTTAAATAAATTATTTCAATATTACAGATTGATGCCTGCAATGTTACTGTATAATATTTATACCATTTCATTAGTTAGTTTTGGATGGACAATATTTTTATAAGAAAAAAATCAACTAATTTAAAGTACATTGTATTCATAAGTTGAAAGTGGTAAACGTGTAAGAAATGTTCAAGGATATCATAAACTGCATATGTAAAGTTTGGGTGTATTAAATTAATATTCATGTCTGTATAGTCTGATATATGTGAGAACTGCATGGCATCATCTGATCATAAATTCTGTGATAATTAAGAGATTAAGTAGCAAACATTTTCTTATCATTAGGTTCTATTGAAAACAGCATAATTGGTATAAATAACTGACAATATTAAAAGTGCAAAATGTAAACAAATGTAAACACCTTTACATATGTAGAGGAAATTCGGCAGAGCTTGTGTGCATGTACTATGATATGGATAGAATTAAATTTTAGTCTCTTGGTGTTAAAAAAGACACAAGGTTCTCACAGATCACTGGGCAATCTCTGAATACACATAGCTTGTGTAGGAACGGACTATAGCACACCTACATTTTCTCTTCATTTCAAAACATGCTTTTACAGCATTTTACAAACTTGCCCTTAAATATTTAGCCATTTTGTGCTACAGGTAATCGAAAAAATAAATCGACTTCTACTTACGAGTGCTTTTGTTTCCTAAACCAGTGTATGTGTGTTCATCTTTACCGACACAACTACTCCCTTGCACGTGGAAAAATGTTTACAAAATCGAGAGGTGCAGTTTTGACACTTTCATGTACAATAGCACGTGACAGAACGAGAAACTTCATACATACTTTCACTTTTCATGTAAAGAAACGTTTGTTTTTCAACTTTATGCAATTTAAAAACCTTGCAAATCGAGAAAATATAAAGTTTTACCTCTTTTTTCAAGTTGAATATTTCTCTCGATTTTCACCTCTCGCGTGTTGGTCTCATCTAATTCTCGAGAGTTCTCGCAATGAAAGCTGTTCGGACGTTTACGGATTTTGTTAATATTTTATGACGTTTATCTCCGAAAAGTTCCGATTTATGCAAATAAGGTTAGGAGGTGTGTCCTGGGTATTATTTAAACAAAAATAACTTGTCTTTTTAAATGTTCATCAAAGACCAAGAGAGGCCAGTGTAAGAGATGTCACCAAGGAATTAATGCATAGTTATGATAAACAAGAGTGACTTTACCAAAATTGTGAAATTCATAGCCCCAGGGTCAGGGGTTCTGGTGCTAGGGCGGGGCTAAATAGATCATATAGTGAAAGTGTATTATTTCTTTGAAAATATTCTTCTCTACTCCTGGGTATTATTTAAACAAATTAAATGCATAGTTATGATAAGCAAGAGTGACTCTACCAAAATTTTGAAATTCATAGCCCCAGGGTCAAGGGTTCTGGTGCTAGGGTGGGGCTGTATAGATCATATAGTGAAAGTGTATTTTTTCTTTGAAAATCTTCTTCTCTACTCCTGGGTATTATTTAAACAAATAAAATACATAGTTATGATAAGCAAGAGTGACTACCAAAATTTTGAAATTCATAGCCCCAGGGTCAAGGGTTCTAGTGCTAGGGTGGGGCTATATAGATCTTATAGTGAAAGTGCATTTATGCTTTAAAAATCTTCTTCTCTGCTCCTGAGTATTATTTAAACAAATTAAATACATAGTTATGATAAGCAAGGATGCCTCTTCCAAAATTATGAATTTCATGGCCCCTGGATCAGGGATTCTGGTGTTAGGGTGGATCTCTATTTATTATATAGTGAAAATGCATTTATGCTTTAAAAATCTTCTTCTCTGCTCCTGGGTATTATTTAAACAAACTAAGTACATTGTTGTGATAAGCAAGGATGCCTCTTCCAAAGTTTTGAAATTCATGGCCCAAGAATCAGGGGTTCTGGTGTTAGGGTGGGGCTATATAGATCCTATAGAGAAGGTGAATTATTTCTTTGAAAATCTTCTTCTCTGCCCCTGGGTTTTATTTAACAAATTAAGTACATTGTTATAGTACGCAAGGATGCCTCTTCCAAAATTTTGAATTTCATGGCCCCAGGGTCAAGGGTTCTGGTGAAAGGGGGGGGGGGCTTTATTGATTATATAGTGAAAAAGCAAAATTTCTTTGAAAATATTCTTTTCTGCTCCTGGTTAAAAAACAGAGAAGCTAAGTGTATAGTTATGATGAGCAAGAGTGCTTCTTCCAGAGTAGTGAATTGTGTGATCCCTGGGTCTGATGTGCTGGTGTAAGGGTGGGGCTCTTGATGTTATAGTGAAAATGCATTAATTCTATTAAATAATCCTGTCTGCTCTTAGTGTTAAGCAGATAAACAAAGTGATTACTTATGATGAGCAAACTTCTGGTCCCAGGGTGAGAGGCTCTAATGTTTCTTGCTGTGGAGGGGGGGGGGGGGGCTCTATTGATAATACATGTATAATGAATCTGTAATAAAAATGCATTATTTCTTTAAAAAATTTCTCTGCACCTGGGCATATCAAAGGCGAAAAGAGTAAAAGTTTTAATAAGGAATAGTATTTTTACCAGATTTTTTAATATCTGGACCATTTGGTCAAGTGTTCTGGTCCTGGCCAAGGATCTATTAATTTGTATTCTACTGAGAGGAGTTATTCCCCTTTGCCATTTACTTTTGATAATTAATCACTGTAAATAATGTACTTGAAAGGTTAATAGAATAAGAGAATTATGCAAGAATTTTTATTGTATAATACAAAAAGTACTTTCTTAGTTTTAATGATCAGGTGGACTTGTAAGTAATAGATAAATAAAAATGAGACAAAAATAACTTGTCTTTTTAAATGTTCATCAAAGACCAAGAGAGGCCAATGTAAGAGATGTCACCAAGGAATTAAAATGGTACAGAAGCACTGATAGTTTGTTAATAATTATACTGTATGGTGATAGTGATAAATGGGGAACAGATTAGAACCTAATTTATGAACTGTAAATGAATACTAGACTAATTATTTTGTTGATCGTGATCACCCTATTTTTCTTGCTTTTGGGCAACAAAGCTTCACTTTTCAGTTCATTTTATACTCTATGGATCCTATAAATTGTTGTATTATACTCAGGTGACCGTTAAGGCCCTTGGGCCTCTTGTTTGGGGAAATGATAAATTATTGTCTGCTCAATATCTTCAGAACACTCAATCATTTTGCTTGACAGACATCAAACTTTGTACTCTGGTACCCTGTAAGGAGCAGATGAACCCTATTTATTTTGAGGTCATAAGGTCAAAGTCATGGGTCAAACTTCTCTGCACATAGACATTAAGCTTGGTGTACACTGGCACCCCTAAGAAGTACCAATTGGTTTTCAAGTCACATTACATACATTTTAAACCTTATCAGTATGTCCTCTAAAGGGGGGGGGGGGGGGGGGCATATATGTTTCCAAAACATTTCTTGTCTATTTTTTCTCTCTTCCCCTTCAACTTGATCAACCTATATGTTGAAAACCTTCAGATTTCAAATAACTTTTTATACTAAATACAAAATTTAATGTACTATTATATTTTGTCCTAAAGATATATGCAACACATACAAACTTATTGCAATTAATTTTTATATAAAGATTTAACTATAATGCTAATTATAACAGGAATCGTTACAGATGTTCCCCAAATACTCCCCCACTCTCCTATGGGCCCCATTCCCTACAAGCTTCATTAAATTAGGCAATTCTTTTGTTTTATAAATTTACGTCACTTTAATTATTTTCAGTATTTTATCGCAAAACAACAGTGGTATAGTTCTTTGAGTATTATCAAATCAGATTTTAGTGCATGTGCCTGTCCGTTTTTTTCTAGATATTTGAAATTCATGTATCTTCTTCTTAAAGAGACTTACAATAAATACTTATTTGTGACATCTCATAGATTTTCATTAAAAACTATGAGAAATACAGCCATATGAGTATTAGCCAATCAGAATCCAGCATATTTTAGATTTTTTACCCCTGGCATGATAAATTTTTCACAAAAATGTTTCTCTTACTTAATTTCTCACATCCATTGGTGTTTTATGTTCTGTTTTGATTATTTTTATATCTGCAGCAGTAAGTATAATGATGCCATTTATTTCTGACATCAACGTTTTCTGATCTCCCTTGAATGCACTCGATCAAAGACAGTTCGGCTTTGTAACATCAATGAAACATTTATTTCCATCTAAACTAAGCCCAAAATTGATCTAGCTACAATTGTAAGTTCACCAGTACTCAGAATTATAATATACAGGATGTTGTAATGTTCCCTAAACAAAGTTTGGGAACATAATGTTTATACTTTTTTCAAAATTTCTTCTCTGCTACTTTTTTGTCCACAAGTGTTCTCCGAAGCTACCCATCCTATTATGAAGCCTTTTTGATGTTCACAGACAATGTTGTGTAGATGTGCGAAACGAAAGTCATTTCGCGCACACTTGCATGTGCGTGCGAGGAGTGAAATATGACTGATACAATTGAAACAGGTTTAACCTTCTTATTTTATGATGATATGCTTTGAACTTCATTATGTAAACATATATAAGTGGTGTAGACAAGATGAGGTGGTTGAATTAGCAAGAAAGCATGCAAATGCACATGTGCTTCACTTTGATAGGCTGATACAAATATCTCAATATATTTCTTGTTTTTTTGATGAAATACTTTGAAATTTAACACTTAAGTTATACCTAGGGAAGTTCTTCAATATAGTATATATACGAGACAACCTGAAAACGAGCCCATGCACGTGTACTGAAATTTGATTGGCTTTAAATTTAAATGGTCATAACTTTCTTAGTTATCAAAAAACAGGACAAAATTTAGAATATAGATTGGTATAATGAGTTTCTACATTATGATACTACCAAAATTGAATGTAAGAACATGCATGCACATATCCTCAGGTAGTGTAGATTCAAGTTTGTTCAAATCATGACCCCCGGGGGTAGGTTGGGGCCACAATGGGGGATCAAATTTTTTTAAATAGGAATATATAGAAAAAATTCTGAAAAATCTTCTTCTAAAGAACAACAAAGCCACAATTAGTCATATTGATATGGAATCATCCTCAGGTAGTGTAGATTCAAGTTTGTTCAAATCATGACCCCCGGGGGTAGGGTGGGGCCACAATGGGGGATCAAAGTTTTACATAGGAATATATAGAAAAAAAATTTAAAGATCTTTTCAAGAACAGGAAAGCCATGATTAGTCATATTGATATGGAAGCATCCCCAAGTGTTGTAGATTCAAGTTTGTTCAATGCATCCTCCAGTAGTAGGGTGGGGCCATAATGGTGGATCAAAGTTTTATGAAAGAAAATATATAGGAAATATCTTTAAAAATCTTCTTCTCAAGAACAACAAAGTCATGATTAGTCATATTGATATGGAAGCATCCTCAGGTAGTGTACATTCAAGTTTGTTCAAATCATGACCCCACCCCCCAACCCCCAGGGTAGGGTGTCAGACATCTTTAAAATTCCGTTTTAAAGAACAGCAAAACCATGATTAGTTATCTGAATATAGCAGCATCCTCAGAAGGTTTATATTAAATTTCATTCAAAACATGGCACCTGGGGGTAGGGTATGCTTAGAACAGGCCATCAAAGCTTTATATGAATATATAAGAGAAGAAATCTGCTGACGAAGAACAACAGGACCATATTGACTCAGGTGAGCATTGTGGCCCATGGGCCTCTTGTTTTCCTAGCTTATGTGCTCAGGTGAGTGATGTGGCCCATGGGCCTCTTGTTAGAGTCTATAAGATTGCAAACACTATTTAGATACTGTGGAATCATTTTAATTCGTGGGGGTCAATGTTCGTGGACAAGCAAAATTTTACTTGTTCGAGGGGACGTAATTTCGTGGGTTACTCGTTTATACGGTAGATTCAATTAATCAATATGTTTACAAAATAAATGTTCGTGGAGATGTAAATTCGTGGGTAAAGGTAACCCACGAAATCCATGAACATTGGTCCCCCACGAACAATGATGATTCCACAGTAGCAC